AGTTTTTTCCGTCGGTACTTTCGTCGGAAAATCCCTTGTTTTTTTGTAGTGGATACATCATGGTGGATGAAGTTAAGAAAGGCTTTAGAGCGATGTATCTGATACCGGGAGCGTTTCGGTTCATGAGGAGAAAGATCGATCGATGTGAGAGAAATGTCTACGAACAGGTTCATCACGTCGACGGTGCCGACTCAATCTCTCGAATATTGGAGTGCAAAAGTGTGGCGAACCCTAGAATCAGAATCGATTGGTAGAGATTGAAGAAGCTGAAACAACTCTCTTAGAACTGTTGTTCTGTCTCGATATCAATCGCGGAGACTAAAGCAAAATGAAAACCCAAATACGAAAACGATGTGTGTTTCCAATTAGAGAACCTATTTGATGGGCTGGTGAATATGGGGCTTCTGGGCTGAAAATTTTTAATCGTATGAAATCCGTTTGATTTGTTAACAAAGACACGTGTCAAGTTCTCCTGATCTGATTTTGTGACATCATCAAGTGACGGGGGTTGATGAGAAGAGAGTTTAGTTGTTATTTATATATAAAGATTTAAGATCCTATTAAATTTATATGTGAGATATTTTATCCTAATATATTACAAGAGTAGAATATGAAATACAAACTCATATATAATTCATGAATATGGATTGCAGTGAGTCTCTCTCTCTCTCTCTATATATATATACATATAATAAAGGCTCTTGTATCATTAAGAGGTTGATTGTTTGTTGTTTTTCAAACAGTTTTTGGTTTTTGTTTTTCTAAAAATTATTTTTTTACCAATCAAGTTTCTGAAAAAATAGATTCCCTAAAATATAGGGTAACCAGATTTTTAAGTAACTACCTATTTTCAAGCAAAAACCAAAAACTACATTTTCTTGGTTTTTAGCAATATACGTGGGATTTTGGATTTTTATTCTTATTAAAATATAAAATATTTATGTATTAATATAATAAAGATTAAAAAAGACATAAAGTGATAAAATAGTAAGTATTCCAAATACCTAAAGTTAAATAAAATATTTTATGACACTGTAATTTAATTTGTATTTAAGCGTCTAGCTATTACTTTATAGATTTTAATTACATATATTTTATGCATTTTCCGTATTTTTGAAAAATATAATTAATTTAATTATGTTAATATAAAATCTAATTATCCATTGTTTACAATTTAATATATTTAAAAATTCCAGATATTGAAGTTTATCTTGTAAAATTGGAACTGCATAAATTTTATTCAGTCTTACCATATTTTATAAAATATAATTAAATTTTATTTAGTTTTTTTGAAATTTTAAATAGTTATATTTTTCCTGTCGATATAAAATTAAATGCAACTACATGTAGCTAGTGGTTTTTATTTATAACATCTAATTTGGTTTTTTATTTAAAAATAAATTTTAATATAAGATATTATTCATTTCTAGTGACAATAGTAGCTTTTTATGAATATTTTATTTATTAATTCTTTATTTTACTTTGGAAACAAAAACCAAAATCTACTATCACCATTCAGGTTTTTTAAAAGTCTAAAATCTACTGCAAAATCAAAAACCAAAAACTAAAAATCAAAATCTAAAAACTAAAAACTAAAAACTAAAAACTAAAAGCTAAAAACTAAAGGGGTGATTGGTAGTTGCTATAGGTGTTGTCCACAACCTTATTTATTTCTACAGCACTAAATTCAGAGCAATCAAATTTTAAATTTTTTTTTGAAACCACAGCCCTTGAAATGACTTACAGTTGTACAAGTGCTCTGCAGAGCCAAATATCCAAAGCAATTTTTTAGTGTTTTCCAAAAAATCTATATCAATAAAATCTAAAACTACAACAAAAAATCTACAGATTTTTTTCTACAGCAAAAACTTTAAAGTTGTAGCCATTACCAATCGGATCCTAAATAAACAATCATCGCCTAAGTTAATTAAACTACGTCAAATATGAATGATTTTGTATTTTGGCAGTATATATATTTATATATGTAGCGCAGAGATTTTTGATCAACTAATCGTGAAAAGATTAAATGCATAGGAATCTTTTTAATTTTCCAGAGAGTTCTCAAGTGTGTTGCTGCCTTTCCTCCAGATTTCATATGATAATTTTTAATATTGGACGTCAATGTAGCCATCAACTCTATTATCCAACAAATCCCAAAAACTGACCAATTTGCTTTATTAAAAAACAAAATAATAGGTAATAGAAGACGTATATTAAATATAATTTGCATGGAAGTCTGACGTAAGTTCCTTTATATCATTTTTATGTATAAGATCGCGTTTTTATTATGTGTAGACAAATGGATCCTTTGGTCAGTGTGTGCTGAATCTGATCCTTTCAACTGTTTTAGGGTTCAAAGTCTTTTGTTTATACGAACCAATTTTACAAAAGAAAAAGGTTAAGAAAATGAATCTATACGGGTACGTGATATTTTGTTGCAACTATAGCGTATTTCTTTTACATATTAACTAGGTGTTTTGCCCGCACTTGCGGACTTAATAATTTTACTAATATCTATAAATAAATATATAATCAATAATTGTAAATTATAATAAATTATAGTTCACAGACTCAAAATATTTAATAATAAAGGAAACAAATTCTTTTTATATATAAAATTTTTCATCATCATATAAATAATTTTCATTACACAACTTATACTTGAAAATACTCATGAATTTAAAACATTTAGTAATAAATTAATATCATTTTTAGACATAAAAAATTATCTTTAATAATGTTTTGGATAACGCAATATAAATTATCTATACATAAATTCTTTCCGAATTGATTTTTCATAATTAACTATATGTTAACAAATAGAATTATTTTTCAATGTTAATAAAGACTTTATAACACAATATAAAAAAGTTAGATAAAGATAATTATCAAATTCATGAGATTCATTTTTTAATTTAGAATTAATTATATGTTAACAAATATAATTATTTTTCAAGGTTGATAAAGACTTTGTCACATAATATAAACAATTAAAATAAGGATAATTATCAAATAACTGAAATTCGTTTTTAATTTATAATTAATTATATATTAACTAATACAATTATTTTTCAAGGTTAATAAAGAATTTATAACCCAATATAAAATAGTTATAGATAAAGATAAATCTAAAATCATTGATATTCGTTTTTTATTTATGTTTAGTTATATTGAAAAATTTAATTATTCATTAAGGATATAAACGATATTAACCCCTCTAACTTTCAACGTGAAAATTACAAATTAATCAGCAAATTCACTTAAATTTTATAATTGAAAATATATTTTTAAGATAACAATATAATACAAAAGAATTAACATATTTTCTAAAATATAATATTATTAACATAAATTTTTTTTTTTATTTTATAATAAATTATTAAAACATGAAATAAGCAAAATAACCTAAAATCATGGAGAAGTTGACAACTAAGCAAAATTACTTCTAAAATAATAATTGAAAAATATATTTTTAAGATAACAATCTAATATAAAAGAATTAACTTATTTTCTAAAAATATAATATTATTAACATAAATTCGTTTTTATTATATAATAAATTATTAAAACATAAAAATAAGCAAAATAACCTAAAATCATGGAGAAGTTGACAACTAAGCAAATTTACTTCTCAAATAATGTTATAGAGCGTTGAAAATTACAAATTAATCAGCAAATTAACTTAAAATTTTATAATTGAAAATATATTTTTAAGATAATAATCTAATACAAAAGAATTAACATATTTTCTAAAAATATAATATTATTAACATAAATTCTTTTTTTTTTTAATAAATTATTAAAACATGAAAATAAGAAAAATAACCTAAAATCATGGAGAAGTTGACAACTAAGCAAATTTACTTCTAAAATAATAATTGAAAATATATTTTTAAGATAAAAATCTAATATAAAAGAATTAACATATTTTCTAAAAATATAATATTATTAACATAAATTCGTTTTTATTATATAATAAATTATTAAAACATAAAAATAAGCAAAATAACCTAAAATCATGGAGAAGTTGACAACTAAGCAAATTTACTTCACAAATAATGTTATAGATTTCTCTACATTTGAGCATGATGTTTAAGATAAATACGGGTATGTATAGTCGGATCTTATATGCTAGAACTAGATATCATTTATATAGGTTTTCATTATTTTCTTGATGAAATATTTTAAACCTATAGATTGATTGACTCATCATATGTTTCACGATCATGATATATAGAACCAACAAAACTGTATACTTTCAACGCTGCAGAGACTTTACTAGTTATCAAAGTTCAAATATAACAAGAATTAGCTTATTAAGCTTAATGACACTTTTATAATAATGTTAAATAACAAACTGCTGATTACCGTCCCATCAAAGGTTTAGTAAACTCAAATATATAAACTGAAGAGGATAACATGATAATATATTTTTCAAGAAGTATATTTCACAATTCCTTTTTGTAACATGGTCTTTAGCAATGTTCTTTTGGTTTGAAATTGCTTAAAGTGTTTATTTACATTTTCTTAAGAATTTTATTTACATTTTCCGAAAAATATCCCCAAACAAATATCATATGGAGATGAAACACCATCATTTCTCGTTAACTGTATGTCTGTGCTTTTACAAGTTTCCAAATAATATATCGTAAAATTCCATTATGAAATATGTTTTGTACAATTTTGTAAATAACATGTAAGCATAAAATAACAAAAAGCATAATAAACATTTAAAATATAAAATAGTTTATAATTTCGTTTTAAATCAAAAGGACACGTATACCAATCGGGAAACAGAGGACGCCACCGAACCATTTTGACTTCCCCTCTTCTTCAATCCCTTATAAATACTTTGTACTTTCCCTTACGGACCCTATGACCTTTATTTCTCTCTTTACTATTAGTTTCCTTAACTCATCTCTCATTAGCACATTATTGTTAAAGCCTGTTGACCAATTTTGTGATTGATAATTAATCATCAAGATTCAAGACAAAATCATATGGGAAGATCACCTTACTGCGAGAAGAACGGGCTCAAGAAAGGGCCGTGGACGTCCGAGGAAGACCAGAAGCTCCTTGACTATATCCACAAACATGGATATGGTAACTGGAGAATCCTCCCCAAAAATGCTGGTACGTCTCTTAATTTACATTTTTAAATCATGTTTTTAGTAATGATGTTTTACTAAAAAAAATTGATAATTAAATTTTGTTTCTTCACTTAATTATCAGGTTTGCAGAGATGTGGCAAGAGTTGTCGACTAAGGTGGACTAACTATCTCCGACCAAATATAAAGCGAGGAAGATTCTCCTTTGAAGAAGAAGAAACCATTATTCAGCTTCATAGCTTTTTAGGAAACAAGTGAGATTTTTTTTTTTTTTTTTTTTCAGACAATATTTTCTTGGAACTAGTTCAAGATTCTTATGTGTTTTCTTTTTATATTTTTTTTTTTTATAGATGGTCTGCTATTGCAGCGCGTTTGCCTGGAAGAACAGATAACGAGATCAAGAATTTTTGGAACACAAATTTAAGAAAGAAGCTACTTAGAACGGGAATCGATCCAGTGACCCACAGTCCGCGACTCGATCTCCTTGACATCTCATCCATCTTAGCATCATCTCTATACAATTCTTCTTCACATCATGTGAACATGTCAAGACTCATGATGGATGCTCACCGTCAGCATCAACAACAACAACCATTGGTTAACCCTGAAATACTCAAGCTCGCTACCTCTCTCTTCTCTCAAAACCAAAACCAAAACTTAGTGGTCGATCATGACTCCAAAACCCATGAGAACCACACGGCTTATCATCATGATGTTAATCAAACCGGACGAAACCAATACCAAACAGACCATCAAGATTTCCAGTCTTGCTTGCCATCATTCCCCAACGAAGCTCACTTTAACGATATGGATAATCACGGAGAATATAATTTTGCTTCAACCTCGAATACGTCAGTCCAAGATTGCAATATTCAGTCGTTCAACAACTACGCAAGCTCTAGCTTTGTATTAGACCATTCGTATTTAGATCAGAGCTTCCACTTCGCTGATTCGGTATTGAACACGCTGTCTAGCCCAACTACGTTAAACTCCAGTTCCGCGACTTACATCAACAGTAGCAGTTGCAGCACTGATAATGAAATCGAAAGCTATTGCAGTAATCTCATGAAGTTTGATATTTCTGATTTCTTGGACGTCAATAGTTTTATTATATAATTTCAAGAAACAAGATAAAAAAAACATTGGGGGTACTTGTTACTTGTATGTAGTAATTTAAAACTCTTCTTCCAAAAAACTTTTTATATTTGCATTTGTTTACAGGTAATTAGTATTTGTTTTGTTGTTGTTACTCATTGTTTTTCTGTTGTCAAAAGTTACTCATTGTTTATAATTTATATTAATACCATAATTAGTAATGGCGATTCCATTATTGATATCCACTATTTATTTGGCCGACTTCACTTCTACATGTGCATCGTAGTCTCCTATATTTGAAATTTTGAATCATTGATATAACTGGTATCAGTTCTAAAATTTCCGGACATAGACATAAATAAATATTTTAAAACTAACATCATTGACTTATGTCATGTTTCCAAAAGGTATTAATGGAAACATTAGAGCCATACAAATATAGCCAAATGATTCACCATATACCCTATATAACATATTTTTCCCTCTGTGATCACAAATCCACCACATACATTCCCAGCAAGATATTAAGAGTACTATTTTAATTAATAACTAATTAGTAATTACAAATTCATTAATAATTTTCTTGCTACGAGACGACGAGCTGCTAATAATATGCAATGCGTTATAACTTTTTATAATCAAAGACATGTACCATGATAATTTGAGTTTGCGTTCATAAATCTAATATGTAAAAGTTATTTTATTTGTATACTCATTTTTTTCGAATACTCATTTAGTTGTCAACGATTTACTGAACTCTTTTCAGTTCTTTACTGAGTTAGAGTGGAATTTTGTGCTAAAAATCCTGTAAATGTGGCAATACAACTTGCAAAACGGATTCAAGCATTTACTTACGAGTTTTCGAATTTAAAGTTATAAAACACACACACAAACACTTAGAAATGAAAGTTGTATATTAGCTATATTTATATTTAGCATATTTTGGTTGAAACAGTTTAATATAAAATCAAATAATTTACAAAAGTTTGGTTTAATCTAATTCACTACTAAAAGGGCGATACTAAGCTCCCTTAAAGTGTTCACGCTTAAGAAATATTCAACCAATGGAGAGCGGGGATTTTGGCACGTCAGATGGGCAGTTCTGAGGGAAGTGGGCTTGACGCTTATGGCCCGTTTTTATTGTTATTATTAGATAGATGTTTTATTATGGGCTTCGTTATCACATCATCTGTTTGTTTGGGAGGCCCGTTAATTTAAACCATCGGTTTGATCACTTTCCCTTCACGATTTGGAACCAAGCTAAACCATCGGTTTGATTACTTTCCATTCACGATTAGCGAGCCCTAATTTCTAAAACCGGTGCCTTTCTCTTCGTCTTCTTCTTGCTCTTCCTCCACATCTTCTGCGTTTCATCCATTCACAGAGTTGTAACTAATAGCAATCAAATCCCTCCCCACTCCTTAGTTACAATCAATTCCCTCCCCACTCCTTCCTTCTCTTTAATCTCATTAATGGAGTCGATTCGTTATCTCCCTCTGATGTCCTATAAAGATCTCTTGATTGTTGTCACGATTTTCAACAGAAGTTGTTTTTTCATCTCCACTGATTATTCCGATGAAGATTTCTGGTGCTCCCGAATCAGTGAAACCCAACGGCGAAGCTGCTGTCTCATCAATTCCGGTTAACTCCGGCGCTCCGAACGGTGTCTCTTCCGGCGATGTCGGTTTGATGAAATCGAAAGGCCCTGCGGCTGATTCCTCCACTCCGGTCAAACCAACCGGGAAACTCGGTGCTTCTTCCGGCCTCAAGATCGGCGTCAGTGGCAAACCCCCCATTCTCCTCATGTGCCAAAGGCAAAGCTATCGTCTCCGACAACGTGGAGGAGGTCATTGCATTCAAGAACTTGACTCTGGGTCCTCATGAGGGCGTGTTACGGTTCAGGCTGATCCACTTCTGGGAAGCGTGGAATTCGTTGACGAAGGTTCTTATTGGCCTCGAATCCCTTCTCATCGATGAAGAGGTATAAACCGATATTAGTTTATAAAATTTTAAATTTTATGTTAGCAACAAACTGGTTTGATTTGTGTCGTTAGTGAATTAGATTACATTGGCAACGTATCAGTTAGATTGTGATGATCTGGGTTATATACATTAGGAACATAAATACTATTTGTAGTCACATATAATCCAAAGCAAAGTTAAAATCAATATCTGTTTTTTCTACTCCCAAACAGTAATCACTATATATATTATCACTTAGTGGTTAATAACTTAAATCATTTTATTGTGATCAACTTATATTTTACTAAGTTTGCTGTAAAATAATGTACTGTGATTAATTCATTATCTTATTTTGATATTTAGTAAAGAATGAGAAAGATCATATTCAAAATTGGCTTATAAGTCGTCCCATGTTTATAGATTTTAAACTAGCATAATTTATGTTATATACTCAACCATGCACTGAACTCTTCTTTTATGTCTTCAGCTAATGAATTGGATCGATTTATCTAATGAAACGTTTAGTAAATCTATGTTTTTTATACTGGAGATATACTAACTACCTTCTGTTATTGGTTTTGTCTTAACAACAGGATACTGTTCTGCAGGGATTCATTCCCTATGGGAGGATCCAGATTTATAAGCGTCACCTGAAATCTGGTGCTACTTATCGGCTCAACAATTTTTTTGGATCAAAAAACAAGACTAACTACCGGGTATTTGATGGTGATGTCACTGTTAGCTTTTCATGGAACTCTGTCCTCTCTGCTCTTGAGGACAGTACAATCCATTTCCTTGGTGATCGGTTCCGGGTCCATGGATACAGAGAGTTTGATGCTGCTTGCGAGAAGAAAGGTGATCTATATGGTACGTTTTTGCTATCCTTGCACCCCATCACTTACTGAATTGTATATTAGTTTACTCTTAGGTGTTTTAGTGATTCTGAAGTGTTTGCCTATGAGATATATAACATTGAGTTGATTGTCTTCTCTTGCAGATTATATTGGCCACATCAGACTTGTGAAAGAAGAGGTACCAAGTGACAGTTTTCAGCTTGATGAAGCAGGGATCGCTGGGTCCTGTCGAGTTGATCTTCACGTTCAGACGCATGAGTAAGATAATGCCCATCTTAATTCATATTACAAATGGTTTTACTTACCATGCGCGTTTGTATTTTGCAGCGATCCTGTGCTGAAGTTGTGCCTATGGGACAATGCCGCTTTTGAGTTTTGTGAGAAGTTTAAAGCTTCTGGAGGCACCGCACGTGCTATCTTGGTCACCACGTTAAATCCAAAATGTTTTGGAGGTTTGTACTATTAGCTTCTAATTGATTTTTAAGGTGTGAAATGGAATTGAGAAAATGGGGTTGGTTTAGCTGCTTTTTTTTGTGTTTGGGGTTTATTAGATTAGCGCGTTCGGAACATATATTTGATTGGTTAGAATTGGACCGAATATGGTTTAGATTCCTTAGAACATTATTTTCTACCGTATCATGTCTTGATCCTGTTTTGTACAGCCCTGACTCTATCTTCTATGACGCCTTCACGAGTGTTTTTGGATGATGACATCCAAGAAACTCGGAACTACCTCGGCTGGTAAGATTTATGGTTTCATGTTCTATAAAATTATTTGAATTACTCCTTTAATAAACTATCTGGTTTGTCATTGCTTCAAGTACAACTCGAACTTGGATGTAGCCAATGGAGTAATAGCAGATGTGGTGGTCAATCCTGAGCCAGCTACTTTGGGGGAGCTCCTCGCCTACATGAAGCAGCCATCTGCGAAGGTATTATAATTCCATCTCTGAAGAATTCAGTAATACTATCTAAATTTCTCATTATATTTTTCTATGTTGGTTGGTTTGAGTGCATGGCAACAATTGATGATGTTGTGCACGGTTCTAAGTGGTACTATATCGGCTGTGGTGATTGTCATACAAAGGCAACCATAGGGCCTACAACACTGATGTGTAAGAAATGTGGGAAGAATGAAATCGTTGGTGTGCCCCAGTAAGTGTTTTAAAATTATGTGAATTCAATCATCAACTGCATTTTACTAATATGATCTCTTTCACAGATACCTTTCGAAGCTTTTTGTTTATGACCACCAGGATCAAGCGATGTTTCTTGTCCTTGGTGATGCTGGTGAGGAGTTGTTTGGGAAGAAAGCTGTTGAGTTGATTGAGAGCTATTACCAGGTAGTTATAAATATGGGTGTTTTTAGGATTTAGGAACGTAATTTACAAAATCTGGTGATGTTTGCTGATGGTGTCTATCTATGTTAGGCAAATGATGGTGCAAGTGAGGATGACATTGTTCCAGTGCCTCAAGCTATGGTTGATGCTATTGGGTAGACGCGGAGGTTCATTGTGAAGATGTCTAGCCATAATCTGACTGCCAAGACTCGGACCTTAACTGTGACTAAGGTGCTCCCTATTGAAGCCCCAGAGCCTCAAGCCAATGTAGGAGATAATGCTGATGGTGAGCCTGATAATGAAGGGGATGAACATGGAGCTGAATCGGTGGAAAGGGTTGCTGATGGGGTTGAATCAGAAGCTTCCAAGCATGCCAAATGTGGCTGATAAGGTCTTATGATTAAGATCCACCCACTGATGTTTGCTTTTATTTATTTTTCTTAGACTCTGTTTTTTCCTATGTTTTGCTTGCATACATGTTTTGGCTTTTGAGTTTATCTATTTTGCTTTCAGACACGGTTTTGCTTTTGTTATCTGAGTTTGTGTTGAGTTTATTTATGTGAGGGATTTACCTTCGTAAATCTCCTTCTTTCTACTCCTCTGTGCGTTACGTATGAAAAGAGTACCTATATGCGTTTGTAATTGAGGATGTCACAGGTAAATTGATATAGTCTTATATTTTCAAGATTGAATACAAATAGCAGCTGACAAACGGTAGAAGATTGGACGTGTACGTTATTATTTGCAAACGTGTTTAAATCAAACATTAAAAATCCATGATTTGATACACATGATTTGAGCAAACGTTACGTAGCAAATAGATAGCGAAAATAGCCTATTTACTTACCAAAAATGACTTCTAAATATATATGCTGTATTGAATTCTGTTTCATTCGCTTTCATATATTTTTTCCTTGAGTATCACTGTCTTCAAAAATCACACAACAGAGAAGGAGCAAACTTCATACATTTTTAGACACGACCACAGGTGTTGCAAGTTCCGTACAAATACGTTCCATCCATTATTCAGTGTAATTTTAGTGTCTTACCATTATAATTAAGTTTCTTTATTTCCTGCTAATTTATTCGAATATGTTGTAAATTATATATTTTTTGGTTCACATATTTTCCTAGATATTCGTTTTTGAACGGATTTGGCAACCCAATTTCAGCCGGATCTATGGTTTCTGAAGGTAAACATATGTACATCTAGATGTTTGTGAGTTGTTAATAGTCATATTTTAAAATATAAAGATGGTTCTGTTCTGTGACTTAAAACCCAAAATAGCTGACTCATGGTTAAAATTGATAATAATGGAATCAGAATGTATAAGGTTTATATAGGTGACAAATTATAAAAGCTTTTAATAAACATAAGTTACAGCATTCATATATTGTGAATAGTAAAAAATAATGAATAAGTTACATAAATTGGTTTTTGACTAAATAAATAAATCATACTTATGAAACAATTTAAATCCAAAATATAAAACGGTGTGACTTCAACAATAAGGTTGTTGATTACAAGAATAATTAACATCGGAAATTAATTATTTGTTTTCTTTCCAACAGCCCATGAATATTTGGTAGACTGACCAAAAACTCATATACCACCCATTCTCATCTAATAATATGCTTATACACAATATTAATCTCCTACACAAGTGTCGCCCCACCTTGCTCAACATAGGCATTACCTAAACGTTAATACGACCAACTAAATTAAAAGAATTGTTCAAATATTACATTAATACAACTTTAATCTAAAAATAAAACTGTTATAAAGTAACAACACATACATATAATGAAAATAGTCAATACACCTATTTACTCATATTAAAAAACTGTTAACCATACACCTTGAACCAAACTGTTACACTAATTAAATACATTTAAAACAGTCACTCATATTTATAAAATAAAAATTTGCCTAAATGAAACATACAACAATCAAAAACCAGATTAACTAAAAATGAACAACGAACCACAGATTTCCTATCAATTCTCACATCGAACAAAACCTTCAGGGTTATTGTCCAGGACAACAATCCAAGTTCTCATCCACAGGCCAAACACCCAACAATCTGTGGTCGACTTCAAGTTTCCATGTATGACTGACAATGAAGATAATTTAGATGATACAACAACTGAGTTCATGGATTTCATGTTCGTATACCATGAAATTAGTCACCTCGACTACAATCTTCTTATTCATGACACTGCCAAATATATAATTGATGTGCTACCAACAAACAACGGTAACACCAGTTCTGATCTCCAGGTTACACTTACAATCACAGACTACAACCCAGACGCAACAGCAAGACTTGACGTCGACTTTATCATCACAGATCTTAGGAAACTAACAGGCCTCCAACTATGGATGCAGAAAACGACACTTGCGTTTTTTGCTTCAGTAATTACAACTACATATGCTCGATTTCCTGCGGCCATAAGTTCCATTTCCCTTGCATTGAACAATGGCTTCGTAGAAAAATAAGCTGCCCTTTATGTAGGGGAAAAAATCTTTAATAACCCATATCCATGATGTGAAAGGTGTTTATTATGTTTTGCAAACATTTGGTTTACAAATAAAAATCCAAATAAAAAATTAAGAGTCAAACAATAACTCCCAAAATTTACGAAAATTAATAAAACAACCACTTCCCGATGTATCCAGCAAGTACAGTTGCTCAAGAAATTTAAAATATAACTAACATAATATTATATGTTGGTTAAGATAAATAAATAAAATTATGATACCTATATTGTTATAAATCTACGAAGTTTTCCCACAAACTACGACTGCGAAAAATAGCATATTTATACAAATTAACTAAGACAACCAAAATTTTATAAGCACGGTAAGTAGAAACATAAATACTAGGAAACATAAATAGAACTAAGTTAAAAAAAAAAACATAAATAGAACCATATGTAATAAGCTATGTTACAGAAAAAACTATATATATATGCTACTATCATGCATGCACAAGAGTTTTTTTAGTCTTACGTACAGAACTTTTTTTTGATTAACCTAAAAATATCTCAAACATATAGAAGAGGTCAGAAGTCCTTCATCTTTAGTCTTACGTGCAGAAGTTAAAAGAGTCATTAGTAGTTTCACGGGATTACAGGAAGTACCTAATGTACTGACGACAAGTATCCACGCAGTATCGATGACTTGGGATGTAATTAAGGCAAAAAGGAAAGCCTCCTTATTATTGAAATCACGGCTTAAGTTTTTTTTTTGTAATCGCTTTACACGCGTAGGTAAGAAGAACGCCATTTAATATATAGCACACGTGGGACTCACCAGTGTGTTGTGAACGATGATCTGTGAATTCCCTATATATTAATTGAAAAACATTTGAAAAATTATAATCTCAATTTTGTAATAATTAAAAAAAAGTTCATGTTTACGTGTCACTTAATTAGGTAGTCAATTACATTCAATTGAAAAATAAGTAGGTCCACATTCTATTTTTATATGTCGCTAGATATATTTGTTGGTTAAATTATATGATATGATATTTATGATATAAGCATTTATGAATGTCCTGCTAGATATAATTACTATTTTATTTTCTTTCCTTAAATAAAAGCTACGGAATTACGATAAATGACAAATATATATATATATATGACAATTAATGTTTCTAATAATAAATATTTGATAACAATTTGTATCTCCTCCATCATTTTCTTTAATTTTATATTATTAAAATAAATCAAACAATCAAATTAGCTATAAAATTAAACTTTAGATTTTTTCGTATATGTTATATTTTGAATTTAAAAAAACCAAGAATAAATGACTAAAACTATTAAAATTATTATGTTAAAATTAATGATCAATAGTTTAACATTTTTATTAAGATACACATGATTTTAAAAGTATCATTGAATAATAATAAAAAAAATATATATATATAGATTAAACTATATACCATATAAGATTACATACTTATTTTAATTTCAAAAATTTCAATGAATTTTCAAGAACATTTATAAATTATAAACGTATTAAATTTTTCACATTGAAAATTTTTGTTATCAATGATTTAAATATATTAGTTTTTTTTTTAATTTCTATTTTTTTAAAGAAATTAACACAATCGATTTGGTATATACTATACAAACCGAATGTATGTAAAAAACGTAAGATTTGGATATGGTTTGATTTATAATCGATTAAACTGAAACATGTAAATATGTATATCTATTTGATACATGAGTTGAACTATAATTATGATTTGTAAATCACTTGAATCACTTGAAATATAATTAACTAACAATTTAATGCAACTGAGGCTTCTTATTTTCTTCGTGTTTTTTTAATCTTTTTTTTATTTTTTTAATAAAAACTAAATTGAAGTAAAATTATAAATTTTATGGACAACAATTAGTTGAAATTCTTTAGAATTTTTTTTAATCTTTAAACAAACAGAGTTGTGTTCAATCGAAGACATATTAATTTGATGAACACTAAATATGGAAGAATATAAAAACTTTTCTTTCATGCTTCTGTTTTGTTTTTATTTTTATTTTCAAAATTTAGAGATTTGATATTAATTATAGATTTGATCATTTTATTAAATCATAAAAGCCTTTTTTATATTTTATTCTTTTAGTTAAATATATAATATTTTTTTAGTAGATGACTTTTTGACAATATGACTCTAAATATGATCATATTATTTATTTTTATAATATATAATATGATTTCAAACTAAATAATGATGTATTTTGGTATAAAATTGAATAAATTGAAAACCAACATATAAACCAAATCAAACTGAAGTAAATAAAGATTTAGAATAATAGTTATATTTGAATAATCAAAATACTGAAATCCGATATCCAGATTGAACATCTTTAATCTAGATAAAACCGAACTTTTGTTTCATTTTCTAAAATATAATAAAAATAATAACTTCTTGACTGCTGGATTGGACATAAACACTTTGTCCTTTTTTCGTTGATTTTACAATCAGAAGTAAATAACGTTAATACTTTTTGATCTGAATAAATGCTGTGATTTTGACATATGTGTTTTCTTTCGTCATGTGTATTGTTTTTCAATGGACCCTCCAAAAGTTAATACATTTATCTTTGTCAACCATTTATTGCTGTATAGTAGACGGTGGTATTCCTTT